GTGATTCAAACCGGCATGAGGCAAGGTCATGACGTAGTCACCATTCACTGTATAACCACTACAAACAGCTATGCAAATCGTAATATTATTCAGCACAAAACTTCTTTAAATAAGTTGAATCCACAAACAAATTCCACTTCTGAATAGAAACATATGCAATGAGAATTTGTGACGGTTTGACTTTGAGATTTCAATACAAAAACATCATTCCCAATTTCCAAATTATTTTAGTGATTTCTAATGGATAAAAAATGTGCTCGCCCACCGAGGGTTCCGTACAAATTTATAGGTACACCACATTCCGTGTCTCTGTGGTGCGGCGCGTTATTAACAGTTTTTAATATCGAATGCGTTATTGTGGTGTTTTTGGTACATTATCCCCCCGTCTGTGTAAGTGGATGATTTCTGCCACGAGTTAAGAAAATAAAATTATTTGCATATTTCATATTTTGCTTTTTATCATATTAAGTAATGGTTTTAAATTCACTCATCTAATAACGTATATAGATAAGTTTGTAGAGAAACTATTCAGGATTGATTTAAGACATAAATAAAGCCTGGATGTACAGAAAAACACGAATAATAAGGAAAATCGGGTGGTTTTTTTTTATGTTCCGGTCGTGAAAAGCAAAGTAGAGGGCTACATAGACCAAGGGTTAAGTACTTATTTGAACGGCTACAAAGTGACCAAAAATATTCTATCTCGTGTCCCTCCGTGTTTCTGAAAGCACGTTAAGCCGTTGGTCCCGGCTGCATCTGCAGTCGTTAGCACCTGCCAATCCGCACTGGGCCCACGTGGTAGGTCATGGCCTAATCTCCCTATTCCATCTATAGATAAGACCTGTGCTGCAGCAGTTGGGACATTAAAAGGCTGATGATGATGAAGCGCTAGTAAGCCGCGCGGACTGCTTAACGGCTTCTCCGTCCGTAACGTCTGTAAATTTATCGGTGTTTTGCCTGCATAATAAAAAAAAGGTGCATTATCGCAATAAAACATCCGATGTTATCGACAGATAAAAACACGCCTATGGGGTTGAGGCCTTACTATTAGTTAAGATATTTATTTTTCATTTTATATCAATAACAGATATTGTTCCATTTTTATGTATTCTGCTAGTTTGAGTTTAAAACTATCGCGATAATTCCGCAATAATTATGTATTAGTAACATACCATGGACTAATACAATACACAGCGCACTCACGTCATAAAGCAGGATGTCGTCACACCAAAGTTCTCCGTCAGCATAATGTCACGACCTAACGACCCATTAGTCATTTATATATCACGACGTGACCTGATTGTTCCAGGTAGAATAGAAAAGATATGGATAACGTAGTCATTTCTTTTCTTTAAACAGACTTATGATACTTATGCCCTTTTAATTATACATTAAATCAATCCGAGCCCAACATCATAGGAGAAATTAAAGCAGCTAGACTTCGCTGGCTCGGGCATGTAGAGAGAATGGGAGAGGGTCGAGCCGTGAAAAGGGCATATTTGGGGCGACCGATAGGACGAACGGCCCGTTGGACGTCCCAGATACCGCTGAAGCGACGAGGTGCAGAGGGACTTGCAGTCATTGGGTGCCGACGGCTGGCGGGACCTAGCCCGGGATCGCAGAGCATGGCGTCATCTTGTGTCGGAGGCCAAGATCCACTTCGGATCGTTGCACCGCAGCAGTAGTAGTAGTAAATCAATCTCATTGATGAACTTCGTAATAGGGATGATAACGAGATAAAGTAAACGAAATTCTATTTAATCTGTCAGTTATCAAAAATTACTTAATAGACACTTATTTATTCTTTTGGCAATCAACCAAAATATTACAAATTTCAAGAGCGTCAATGTTTGGGAGTGAGTACTCGTGAGGTCAATTGTACCATGTCGTGACTCATGCGACATTTCAAATCACTATAACTCTCTATAAGTAATGCTTTGATTATATATGTAAACACTTATATATGTGTAGTCTATGTATGTATGTGACGTATATTTATATTATATGTATGTATATATTTAATATTGTATTATAATAATATTATGTGTATGTATATTCTTTATTGTCAAACTCCACAAAGGACATAACAGTAAGATTACACTAACAGAGAGACAATACTACGCTACATACCCCTAAAAATTGTTTTAGGTAATATTTATTCTTTTATAATGTGGTATTAAAAAATACATACTACCCTAAATTTCCTCTTCTACCACCGGCGGTACGAAGTTCGCTGGGTCAGCTAGTATTATATATAAATTTCATTGCTCTTGTTTAACATCTTAATAGGTACTTATAAATGAATCGCGTATACCTGATGACTGAGACAAAGATTAAATACAGCTGAGGCGAGGAATCCTGCCGCAGCGGAAAAAGCTATAGTTTTTCTTGCATGATTTTTAGGCATGTAACCGGTTACAAAGTCCCCGAAACATGTCGTATATACCCATTTAACTTTTAAATATTAAAAAAATAAAATAAAAGACAACTTTTTTGAATAGTTAATTTTTGTTTACCTTGTGGTACTGTTCAGGACTTACATAAGTTCATTAAGTAAATAAATAACTATGTAAATGATGATGTTATTATGTCGTTTAATTTACAATATAAGCTATTATTTATTATTACAATTCCGTAGGTATAAGGTGACTCTATACGTACAGTTTATAGTATTTCGTACAGTAATTAGTATTACTCATGTCTTGAAGAAGTGTATTTTTTTAAGTAGACCAACAGCTATTTTTGTTCAAAACTAGAACAAAAGTTCAATTTCTCTATAAAGTTAAATAATTCTTAACAATACGCCTATTAGGTCACTGACATCGTATAACTTACAACGGGGGCGGCCAATTTGGAAGAGGCTGGGTTAATTGGTGGTATCGTTTACCCAATCTTGGAGTGTGGGTGTTGATAATACCACATGAGTAAAGAAGGTACAGATGCAAAGCTTCATGCAGTGCGCGTGTGACAGCACTGGCAGCTTCTTAGTCTAAGATCCGAACCTAAATCGATCTTCACCGAGCTAATAATAGAATGAAACATATTTTATCATGAATTTAGTATATTAGAAAATATATTTAAAATGGCTTGCCTAAAAAAATCCCGTACAGACTATATATTAAATTAATCAAAAAAATATTTTTGATTAAATGTTGTAACATCAAGATAATAAGAAAATGTTGTCCTGACTTAAAGTATAAAACGTATAGAATGTGCAGCCTTTGGGTAACGTAACTGGCATCGACATACCTGTTTATACCTGGCACCCAGTAGTTCGTCCAGGTAAATAATAGACAACCCAACGGCTGCATATTTTATACGTTTTATCCTTATAAGTCAGGATTTTTTTTTATTATCTTGATGTTGCAACATAAAATTAAAAAAATATTTTTTTAAATTATTTAATAATAGTCTGTCTAGGATTCATTTTAATATATTTTTTAATATAAATTCATATGTATGCTCTATTACTATATCGCGTACCTACGCAGACAACGACGATGTTTCTGCAATGCGACCAAGATCTTGTTATACTTAGATGACATTGATAGTAGGGCGCTACTGGTGAAACAAAACGAAATCTGTGTTGATAAGTACGTACGTAAAATCTCCTCACTTGCAGGGCACGTTTTAATTTGCAATAACTCGGAGAGGGTTAATAAAATAAAAGGAAAATAAAATAAAGGGAAATATAAAAGGCTTAATTACACCTTTTAACAGTGACCCGTCCTCGCTTCAGTGTGGATAATAGTTATTGCTCTCGATCTTATTACCTTATACATAAATTATACAACAAATTTTTGACGCCTGAGAGAACTCGTATGACGCTCAAGGTGAGTTTTGCGACTTGACGATCATACTGTATCGGCGGCGACCATGCGGTGACAGGATACCAGTGCTCACTCACACACGCGCACTTTTTGAAGATTTATCTCTGCCTTCTTTACTCATCTGATAAAACTCTCCTCATACCATGAGTATTAGGGTTAAGGTTAGCGTACACAGCTTTACGAAATTTTTAGTTACACTCGTATTTGTTGATCGAGTGGCGATTTGACTTTGGATAAACAGAGAAATGATGGCTTGTGCAACTAACTCCAAATGTTGTTCTTTTAGCAAGGTCGAGCAAATCAATAAAGCACACCCACCTGTTTGAGTCTAGTTGCGATTGCAATAATGATGTCAGATATGCCCATAATTATTGCTGTCACTCATGTGTTTGTCAGTCCGTTGTCTGTCACACAGGTTTTACAGGCAAACTAACCGAACAAACAGTTGGGACATCGGTCGTTCTCTATATCGTCTTCGAGTTTTCATAGTATATTTTTGTTGACCTTATTTATGTTAAATGGAGCTGCCATTAACAACCTACTTAGGCACAAAACAAATATAACCTGCTCCATCGCTACCTTTTTTACTGCCCACCGACCACGACTTTTAGCTCAGCGATAAGTGCATCGACGATCTGAGCGCATTCGGTAGGTTGGTATTTGCGCTAGCTTCGTCTCTGAGGCTTCGCTTTGTTGCGTGCTTCTAACACTTTTAGTATATTTGTTATCATCGCTAAACGAGCCGCTCTAACCCGACGCTCATTGTGGTGAATTTGTAGGGGAGCCGTTAAAAACCTTAATCGTTTCATCAAATGCTATGACCTCATTAGTAAAAGAGGAATAAACTTATACTAGTTACGCCGTGTTTTGCTCATATCATTCAAATACATTTGTCGTTCAATGAATAGAAACTAATCTAGGCTTATTCTTTGTTTATTAATAAGGGGGTGAGGTTTTACTGGAATTACGCGCCTGGTAACAGCACCACACGCGGCAACACTGAGCCGAAAAATCTACTCATTCGTCAAATTGCGTATGTCGTCATCTATAGATCAATCTATTATATTATGCTCGTTCGATTAATTCGCACCAAAAACTTTCTACGAAAGAACCACGTGACGTGAATTTACATTAACAATCTTATTAATTCATTTGTTTCTCCTTCCTCAGATATTCGGCATAGTGATAATCGCGACAGCATGCGTGGACATGGGCATCATCAAGGGGTTTGCTGGAGGTGAAGTGTCCGGTCACGAGACAGACGCGGTGCTAATCGCGGTGGGCGTGCTCATCATACTGGTGGCAGCCTTCGGGTGCTTCGGGGCGTGGAGGGAGAGTCCGAAGCTGTTATACATTGTGAGTATCTTTTCACATTACTGGTGTCATCATCATCATCTCAGCCATACGACGCCTACTGCTGAGCATAGGCCTCTCCCAAAGATCTCCACATCGATCGGTCCTGTTCCACGCGCATCCATCGGCTTCCCGCGATTTTGACCAGATTGTCGATCCCCCTGGTGAGGGGTCTTCCTACCAAGCGTCGTGCAGTGCGTGGTCGCCATTCGAGAACCTTTCCGCCCCACCGGCCTTAGGTTCTCCTCGCTATGTGTCCTGCCCACTGCCACTGCAGCTGAGCAATCCTTTCGAGCGATGTCGGTTACTTTAGTTCTCCTGCGGATTTCTTCATTTCTGATTCTATCACGCAGGGAGATACCAAGCATCGCTCTCTCCATTGCCCGCTGTGGGACTTTTAGCCTTCTTGTGAGACCCATATTAGAGACCACGTATCGCTTCCGTAAGTCATCACTGGCAACACACACTGGTCAAAGACTTTTGGCTTGAGACACTGAGGTAATTTGGACGCAAATATTTTACGTAACTTCCCGAACGCTGCTCATCTGAGTTGAATCATCATTGGTGTAATGGTTATATATAAATGACATTGGAGGTATCCTTCAAGGAACCGATAGCGAGATGCTTTAGTGTTTCTCTAAGCGAAGAGCATCGGAGTCTTTACTTCAATAACGATTCAATACGGCTCTGAAGCTTGAAGAAATACCAATGGTACAACGGAAAGACAGATTGTGAGGTCTAATGTTAATGATTATTAGAACTATTGAACCTGGCCGCGTCGGCCGTGTTGCTCTATGTACCGAACAAATTGATTCCTGACATACTTTCTCGATTATTTGCCTAAAAATGACAAAACAGACAAGTGTTCCTTTGTGCAAAATGAGTAGTTGCACTTAGTACCTTCTAATACCAAGAAAATTTTGTAAATATGGATCAAAGATCTCTCTCTTTTACTTTTATTTTTAATGCAATAGATCATCTTTTATTTAAAATTGGAATAGTAGTTTGAATTCCGAAATGACATCTAAAACTCAAGACCTTTTGGTTGTTGTACAAAATACCTACCTAAAGATTGTACCTACATACATCTAATCTCAATCCTTCAAATTCATTTTTCACATGTCTATCCAGTTCGCCGGTTGCCTCATCATAATCATCCTCCTGGAGCTGTCGGTGGGCATCGCTGCAGCAGCACTCCGCCCCCAAATTGAGGTCGGACTGAAGCAGCAACTCCGCTCCTCGTTCATCAAGAACAAGTCTACACGGGAGGAGGACTCCCACTACCGCGACTTCTGGGATAAAATCCAATCCAACGTATGTACTTTTATAACCATCACAAGAATTTGATCATGAGAAAATTTTCGTCTGCAGTGCAATGTCAGCTAAACTAACTTAGCTTGGGTCTTGGAACCCGCATTTAACTAGCATGCCTCATGTGTTGAAATTCGAACCCCTATTATGACGAATATTATATTAATATTCACTACGATATTCTGTTCAATCCTGTAACAAGTGCAAGAGTATTTCATCATCCCATCCTATTCCTGCAAATATATATTTAGGTTTGTCATCTACTACAACAGTTGTATTAGCATATGTAAAGTCTATCAAAAATCAATTTCAGATATCCAAAAGGTTGATGAAGTATTTAATATGTAAATACAACCAAGAACAACTAATTTAGCACGGACGAACTCTGGTTTCCATATAAAATGTATTTTTTATGTATTGTATCCATTATTTCACAAGCTACTGACCTTAAAATGTATTTTTTAAGCATTAATCTGCTCTTAGCTGTGCTTAGTTTGTGACAAAATAATTGTGTGACTTATCCAGAATTTATTATCAACTTATCAACAATATTTAATGAAACATCATCATCTGATGCCTTGCTCTATCGATGGAATAGGGAGAACGAATCATGACTTATCACATAAGCCCAGTGCGAATTCGCGAGTGCTAACGACTACAGATGCAAGTGGGACCATCGTCTTAACATGACATAAAGTATTCTCAAAGTTACTCTTTCACGATCGCAAGCCAAACATATTTACTGATACGCCATCGAGCTCCTCAAAATAAAACTTCTCTGATTAAGAACCTGTTAGTCCTGATATTTTACTAGTTCTAATCAAACTTTAGTTGGAATGCTGCGGTATCTCCGGGCCCGACAACTATGGCTCCACCGAGCCCCGCCTGAACCCGCCGTACAGCTGCTGCCCGCGCGAAGCCACTGAAGACTCCGACGAAGTGAAGCGCTCCAACTGCCTCACCCACAACACCATGTACAAGGAAGGCTGCGAGGACAAGATTCTCATGACCATACACAGCGCTGGGCTCTCCGTCATCGTCTGCGGGATCCTCTTCTGCTTCTTGGAGGTTGGTATTTCTATATTTTTTTATTTACCTACAAATGCTTGGGGCTATTTGCAACTTCAGACATAAATAATGGACTAAGCAATCAAATTGATTACTTTCCAGAAATGGAGATAATGATACTATCCGAATGGACAGAAAAATGGGAAACATACGACGCAATCGACTGACCAGTAGTTCGCATTTGAATTTATCTGACAACTTGTTAAGGAATACCTACCGAGTCCATTCTCTCTGTCTGCGCTTGCAACCTGATTACGCTTTATTGATAGGAGAAAGAAAAGAAGATAAAAGAAAGAGCGATCAACAGAATAACGTTATTTTGGAGAAGTAGCCAAATGCAAACCAATATTTTCATTATGCTTGTCAAACCCGGAAAACACAAAAAATAACCATGTTATTCCTCTTACCTACAGTTATTTACTGGTATTACAAATAGTAACTTAACAATAATATAATCAACAAATATACTACAATATATGTAATACTAGCTTAAAACAAAAAAAAAATATACTATTACAACGAACCTAAAACTAAAAACCTTAAAAAATAAAATATAGTAACTAAAACACATTATTAAAAGGAGTCCTTTTAGGCAAGGTTCCGAAGATACTGGCAGCGTTCCGCCTTTGGATAGCTAGACTAATTCTTTGTCCGAGGTAGCTGCCAGCTCTTCGGTCTACTGTTATTATATATAAAGAGGCGGATAATTAAACGATTAAAATTCACAGGAACCTACAAGGCGAAATTTCGGACACGAATATAAATAAAACTTAACGGAGCGATAATTTTGACGGACAGATAGAATTACTTTCGTCCAAGGTTTCCTGGGAACCGTTTCAGCCTATAAAATCAACCTCAATTGGCTCTTTTTTTCGCCTTCAAATAACGAAATTGCGTGTCACGCAACAGTTTGGATGTTATTGTGGTCGAGGCAGAACTTCTGTGCCTAATACCTAATATTACTTATTGTTTACTAACGCAATAACCTAGACTTGGACAGACATTGATTTAATCGATTATTTTCGTATCTATTGCTGCTCTATCATTATGTTTTCAGAACTGTCGATATTTTAATGCGTGTCAGACTAGGCTTAGCATAAAGTTGAAATTGCATCTAGTCTACTCACCAGAAAGTACAATTGTAAAGTGTTTTCTTGTGAAAAAAGTACCCTAAGAACGACCAATATCGAATAGGGTATTTGACAGTTTAAAAAATAAAATGCCAATTGTTAACATCTGTGTTTAGAATGGATATTGGCAGGGGTTTTTAATAATTTTGCTAAAAGCCCACGAAAAAGATAATAGTTTTATTATCTATTGTCACGTGACCCAAAACACTAGGGATTGGCGGAGCCTAAAATAACGTCACACGCAAGTAAACTTCCGGTTAAAGTGATATTACATTGTATCGTTTGACGTTTTAATAACAGCCGTCTGACGTCACACACTATTATGACGCCATATTGCTCAGAGAAACGTTTTCGCGGCAACTTGAAAGTGGAGTTTTTGATTTGGTTATTTTTACTGAAATACGCAACAGAATGATGGATATCCACTTTTTACGGACTCCATAAACATTAGTGAATAACGTGAGATCGTTTTCTAAAACTTGTCAAATACCCTATTCGAATAGTTTGCGAGTGCGTAATGTCATTGTCAAACGTGTACTGATTTTTAGTTCTCGTTACGTTCGTTGTGGCACTGCTGTTTAAGTTTCCATACAAAATTTGACATTGACATTTCGGTTTGCAAACTATTCGAATTCGATAATGGTTCGTGCTAAGGGTACCCAATATGAAATAAAGCAGCATTTAGTACACAAAATACAACTTTATCAAGGAGTGGGAGAGTAGTGGCAGCTAACTTGTTCCCTGGTACTTGTAACTCTCATAAGGATTACCTACGTTACGGCTTCCAAGTGACTGTCGCTATTTCGTTATAAGTCACCTCACACACTAGCTGGCCACGACCACGGCCAGTGGCCGCAACAGCCTTTTCCCTTAGTACGAGTTATACAATTACGAAAACTATGATAGTTTTCGTGAGCTCGCACTCATTTTATTGTTTTAGTTTCTATACAAATAAACAGTGTTTTAATACTATCATTGAATCATTTGCGTCATCTTAAATTTTAAGTATATTTGGTTACTCTTTACCAAAATGCCCATAGAAACATATTTTACAATTACTAAAACTATGATAGTTTTCGTGAGCTCAAACTCATACTAAGGGTACAGATCAACTAAAGAAGCTATACGAACGTCGCGCACTTGGCCGCAACGGCCAACTATAGTTTATGTGTTTGTTTCTAAGGTTTCCACTCTCACCACTCATTAAATAAAACAAGTTTCAACGGTATAGATGCACTGGTTATTTATTTATTGACGTTTCGCATCCTTTTCAGGAAGCGCCGTCTGGATTATGATTAAAAAATAAAAAAAACATAATTCAGACGACTCATCCTGGAAAGGATGCGAAACGTCAATAAATTAATAAATCAGTGCATCTATACCGGTGAAACTTATTTTGTGTATTTATAGTTTATGTGGTCGTGGCCGTCTAGTGCGTGCGGTGCCTTAGGCGTTTAGTTTTCACCACATTTGCAATCTTAGTAGAATCAGCTCTGCTGCCAATGGTAATTCCTGGACATTAGTCCAGTAGTAGGTGTTAAGTCTAAAATGGGGACATCAATAGGCTGATGATGATGATGAAATTACCAGTTCATCATCATCATCAGCCTATTGATGTCCCCACTGCTGGGGCATAGGCCTTCCCTATGGATAGTATAGGGAGATTGGGTCATGACCCACCACGCAGGCCCAGTGCGGATTGGTGGGTGCTAACGACTGCAGATGCAGCCGAGACCAACGGCTTAACGTGCATTACAAAACATGGAGAAACTCGAGATAGAAGATTTTTGGTCACCCATCCAATGACCGACCACTGCGAAAGTTGCTTCACTTCAACGATCGCAGCCGAACACGCTAACCACCTGCGCCATCGACCTCGGCCCTCTCCTTACCACTTCACTAGATCATAAATTACAATGAAAAAATATCCGTAGTAAATACTAGCCAGTTCTGTCTTTTTCCACACCTTCAAATTTATTTAAATGCATATGACTTTTCTACATGTGCGTGCCAAATAAAACGATTTCTTTTCCATTTTTTGACGACCTCCGTGGCCGAGTGCTTTGTACGCTGGGTTTCATGGTGTCGCCGACTCGAGAGGTCCCTGGTTCGAATCCCGGTGGAGGCAGATGTTTTTGTGATGAATACGAGCATTTGTACTCCAGTCATGGATGTTTAATACGTATTTCTACATAAATATACTTATATATGTACATGTACAGTATATGTATTCTATCCGTTACCCTAGTATCCCCATAACACAAGCCTTACAGTGCTTACTTTGGGGCTAGTTGGTGTGAATGTTGGAAAATTAAATATTTATTTAAATATTTTCTTTTGGCTGAATTTTGTTATCAATTTTATTATTTGACTGATTATTCATTATTTTATTTTCAGGTGGCTGGCATAGTGCTCGCTCTATGGTTGGCACACTCCATAAAGACGCAAGGGAAAAGTCGCGACACAGCCTAGGTTAAATTATAATTAGTATGCACCCTAATGAATAGTTGTACAGACAAAAGAAACACCACCTTGCCCGTCGGCAATAAGATCTATTTTGCGATTGCACGTTGCTAAAACGTCTTCAGTGATTTTTTCTTTAGGTTGGCTTTGAGAGAAAGCCAATTCTGAAGTCAATTCTAATGATCTTCTTTTGTATTTCCTGAAAGAATTTACGCGCTTTACCGTAAAATTGATAATGAAAATGACAAAATTCTAATAAAGATGAAAGCATTATTGAAATATATCTCTTTAAAAATAATCAAAGATTAAATTGGTATGAGCAAAAAAGGATTGCTAAGATTTTTAAATCTAAAGAAAATGTTACTACTTATATTCCACGCGGAAGGGACAGCAGACGCGATCGGTGGAACTTTTTCTAGTAAAATTTTCTTTAGATTTAAAACGTTTAGCAGTTAAATGTTTAAAATATAAACATATAAGGGGCCGTCCATAAATTACGTCATCGATTTTTTCAGATTTTAGACCCCCCCAGCCCCCCCAACAATCATCCTATCGTCATTTCTTAATGCCCCCCCTTCCCCTTCTCCCAAAATTGACGTCATTACCAGTTTGACAAAATTAAAACATTGCAGATTTGAGAAAAGCTAGTATTATATGTAATATTATTGTTAGAGTATTTTATCTGTAGTTATTACTGTATTTGATCTATGTTGCATTATGTACGTTTATTATGAGTTATTTTAGTATTGTACGTGCCTTAGCCGCCTCTCACATTTGCAGTCTCACTTACTAGGTGTGCTGGAAGAAATTTCTTTCTAGAAATAATCTTTTTGTATGTGAACAATTAACTATAAATAAATAAATAAGAATGACGTCAATTTCGAAACACCCCCCCCCCCCCTATCTATCATTTACCGTCATCCGCAGACCAACCCCCCCCCCCCCCCACCCCTAATTTAGAATGACGTAATATATGGACGGCCCCTAACTAGCTAAGATTTTTTTGGGAACTATTATGCATTTTTTTATTCTATTAGTTTGTATGAACATTTGTAGCAAAGTTTGGCATAGTCATATATATTGATAATGTTATTTCGATGAAAGGATGTTTTTTGTATTTTATTTTTTAGTTTGTTTTGTAGATTTGATGTAATTGTAGTTAGTTGTAACGCCCTTCGTCCATTTTGTAAGTATAACGATATACTTATCAATTATATCATATTTAGAAATTAAATGGCACAGAATCAAATACTGAATATTGTCAAAACTTTTGATCCTTACATATTTCATGGACCGCGAAACATCTTTGCCTCGTCATATTTTAAAATTAATATCTTTTTTTAATTATAACTCTCAATGTAATTAAATATAAAATTATATATGTACCTATTTTATTCTATCTTTATTTTTAAGTACATCAAAGTATTTTTGATTAAGTGTTATTATTATAAAACTCGTATTGCACTGATACAAATTGGTGCTAATAATTTAATTTTTATAAACTATTCTTAATCTTCTTGGCATTTACGTTAGTTCAATGGTAGGCTTTATCGTCATAATTTATTTTCCTTATTCTATTTATATTAAATTACGCATTTAACGAATCGCCTACAAACTAATTTAATAATTAAAGTTTTAAATTTAAATTGAGACATTTTATAACATTTTAGGCAAGGTATTGTTCCACACAGGGAAGGCCTGTGCCCCAGCAGTGGGGACATTAATAGGCTAATGATGACGACGATTGTACCACAGAGAGAGAAAGTTAGTTTGCAAAATAGAAAGTGTTAATTATTTTAGAGCAGAACTATCGCTAAACTATATAATTAAGAAAAACTTTCTACCAAATTCCTTGCATGTTTTGACAACATTTCTCTATGTTTGCGAAAAACTTGTTTTTTTTATTTATGTATCTACCATCTACGATCTATCTCATCGACAGCAGTGGAACGGTGCCTTGATCATTATTGTTAAAATTTTATCATAATTACATAAAAATTATATTTAAGTACCTACAGACTATTAATTTCTAATATAACAAATTTAAATATAGGTTAGCGATGCGCGACTACGAATGATTTTACCTTTCGACTAATTCGTAACTACTAATTTGGCTATTCGAAAGGAAATTAGTAGTATACTAATGTTATTACTTAAATAACGACTACTAATTAGTAATAGTAATGTCAAATGTCGCTACGTGCGATGCGCACAGATACCTTCGACTCCAGTCGAATGATATAAAGCGCAGTCGACTTGAGTCGAATAATTCGTAGAGTCGAGTGATTTACTATTATCCGAAGTCGCGCATCTCTAATATAGGTGTTTAATAATTATCTGTTGATAAAAAAAATCTTTAATGTTAGTTATGATTTGTGATGTGCCTTTAGAAATATATAGAATTCCCTATAATTTACGGGAATACTGTCAGTTTTCCGGGAAATATTGGAAAAATTACCTGAATATAGTACTTCATAAGGGCACCGGGTCATTTCTTGTTGTATGTACTTTTGTAATCTGGTTTGACGGATATTTCTTAGGTACCTACTCGTGAGAACAAGGAGAAATCTGAAACATCTGTTCGTAAAAACTTGGGAATATTCCTAGTAAATTTCTAATATTCCCGAATAAGGCACATCACAAAATACGATATAGGATTACTTAATACAACCAAAATTTGCTAGTCAGCTCTCTGTACCTAGTTATTTCGTACAAAACCATTTTCCATTATTTAGATTTAATATTACTTATCTTTTATTAATAAAATCCCACCACGTGTTATTAGAGAGTCTAATTATTATGATTATGAACTTCCCTTATTCAATGGGTTATATTTACTACTCACACAGTATTAGGCTGAGCTTTGTTTTGTTTCAAACTTCCATGGTCACTAACTTTATAGCTGTTAACGGGATTCTATGGTAACAATCCCGTAACTGCTCCGTTATAGTAACTGCTCCAAGAGTTACTCCGTGATCATGGCACTTGCAACAGTGCCGAAATATCAGAGACTTATAAAAAACAAGATACATGGTAACAATAAATTCGCACGAAGCAAATTGCTTCCGCTTTCATTAAGCGAACGGCTAGGAAATGGAACTCCTTGCCGTGGTCTGTTTCCCCGGAACAATATAATCTGGACATATTCAAGGCCAGAGTGAACAGGCATCTTCTAGGCTGGCGTGTACCATCCTAGACCTCATCAGCGCTTTCCATCAAGCGAGATTTGGTCAAACGCATTGCCTATTATAAATCCGTTAATAGCTATAGTAGACTTGTTTGTTTTTGAAATGAAACTTCTATTACATCGCTACAATTTTGTCGTCTATCTTAAGGAAGTTGCATATTTTTTTCATTGTTATTAAAATTGTTAGTTCAGTGGTAGAAAGCACGCCTGCTTGTTCGATTCCCAAACGAGGCAAGACTTTTTAATTTATTAATAATTTTAATAGTTACACTTTTGTTAACGCATGATAAAGGAGTTCTGCTTGCACCGGAACGTCGCTCTATTTCTACCAGTAGGAGCAGCTATGACCCACGTTATCAAAAAAACCCTCTCTATACTCGACTCTCTACGAAATTCAAATTTTTGTACGCACTCAACTTCCTTTCGCAATTTTCGTTAAATTTATTTGTTTTGTAATTATATTCGCAATATACGCATTATTCAAGAAACAACTCAGCTTTATTGAAGAGTACGCATAACGCCGATACAACTTGGCATCGTGGTTTCTTAACAACACGCCAATTATTTCAGTGGATATATTTTCGCTTCTGTGTTGCTCCCAACTCAATTTAATTATGAGAAATTGCATGACGTGCTGATTTGTGGGTGCTATCTATAGGATCAACGATTTCTTTTCTTCCACTTTATGGATGACCACGGCTTTGAAAAAGCCATTCATCATTGGTATTTAATATAGTTCTAGTGTTTATTTAATGTTCTTGTCAGTAGAAACCATTGAATTAAATCAGTTTATTAAATAGGTTCCCCATAAATACGTGTTAAATGTAATTTTTAGCTATTAAAGAGCAAAATTCATTTATTCATTAATAGCTAAATTAACATTAATGTCGCCCATTTAGGAAGTTCTAATAAATAATTATTTAAACATTCACCTTGTCTTAAATTCAGAGGGAAGCTGAGCGATTTTCAGGAATTTACTAAGTTAAAATATATATGAGATCGGGATTTTCGATGTGAGATTTCTATAAAAAAATAGGTCTTTAGTAGTTTTTCCCATATATTAAATATCTACAAAGTGCAAACAGGAACCCATTACAAAGTATTTTTATATAAATCGAGAGTTTTAATTTAAATTTAAGCTACTGTAATGATAATATTTAAACATTTGCTAGAGTTAAGTATGTATGTTACATAGATTTCCTAATAAATTATCTGTGTTCTATGACTTTTTTTGAATTCCTTTCCCAGAATCTTTACTCTCAGAAGAGTAAAATTGAAAGAAAAACCTTTTATTTCACTATATGGAACTTTAAGATACTAAAAGTATGTGAGTAGGGAAAATCGAAAGACTTACAAGATGCGAGAGTTGCATCATCTTTTAAATCTCTTATCTATTAGACAAGTCCGTCCGTCCGTCTGTCTGTGGTGCTGTTTCAGCGGCCAAACCGTAAGAGATAGATAAAGAGAATATTTAAAAGTTAAGAATAGTCTGATAAGACTACAAACCGGATTTGAGTAACGTAGCACTTCCGGTTTTCGAGAAATCACGTGATTTCTATTTCAAACGAAACCACACAAAATCTCCGAAGTTCTCAATTAATTAAATACATTTTTTTGAAGTTATACTTCTTTAGCCGCGTTATGAAAAAAATATGAGAGTGAAATTTTCATCACTGTAACACAAAATTTTAACATAATGAAGTTAGCCGCGGGCGCGTTATTTGTAATATTTTATTTTCCAAGTGACCGTGGGGCAGATTTGAACAAAGCAAACAGGGCAGATTTGAACGGGACATTGAAATGAAATGAAATGATGTGATATGAAATGATGTGATATGAAATGATGTGATATGAAATGATGTGATATGAAATGATGTGATAT